GTGGAGAGGAGACTTCCAAAGAGCTTCTAATGCCCTTTGCACTCTCCCAATAATCTTAAATTACTACAACTTAATTGCCATTTCAAGGCACTAAATGGAGACTTCTTTTAAAAAGCAGAACACAGAAGGCCATGAGGCAAAAATGATTTATACCTGAACAGGTATCATATCTGCTCAATCTGTTCTTCCTTCACCCCCACCCCACCCCAACTCCTTCCCTTATGTGATCCGTGCAGAAAATATTTTCTCAGTTAAGGGTTCATAAAAATAACTGTCCACATTGTTCAAGAGGGCCATGCACACACCTGTTGTAAGCAAGGCCGTGCATATGGTAAAAATTGGTATCTGGGGAATCAGAACTGAAAAACAAGCTGTGTAGAGACTCTCCTCCCCAAGCCGCTTAGCAAAGCTTCTGATCGGGTGAAATAATAGAGGAAAATAATAGGTTCCAGCCAAACCCTGTCAATAGGAATTTGGTTTCTAAAAAGCAATCACTAAAAATGCCCTTCCCACAACTGACCGTGTTGCTAATCATAAACAACTTACTGACAGAATAAACAAGCCTGGAAAACTCTTTCTCCCCGATTACTGTACAGCTAGCTCCCTTCCACTGTGCCCTCCCAGAGAACAGCCAATGGCCACATCTCAGCCCATCCCAACCCAAATTTAGCAGAAGGACATTAGCAATAGACCCCCAAACTGCAACATTTTCTTGAAATCAAAGAGGCCATACCTTTCTTCAAAATACTCTTCTTTTCTGTTGGCTACCCATTACCACACCATTGCAACATATCCTCAGAGATACTGTAACAAACTCCAGAGTCATTCAGCTCATGTGAAAGCAACTGGCTATTTCAGTCAAAAGGCTGGTGTCCATGAATTTGGCAGCCTCTTTCTCCTCTCAGTCCATTATAACTTTAACCAAGTCAGGTCCTTTAATTTGGAATATAAGGGCCATTTCTGCCTTAAATGGTCCCTTGCAGTGAAAAATGTACAGTATGAGGAGATCTGGAAGTCACTGCATTGATTACTCACAAGTAGGATGGATGCCTGACTTCGTTTCTCCACGGGCCAAACCCAATGCCGCCTGGGCTTCTTCCTTTCATTCACAGTCTGAAGGTTATTTCTCCTTGGCTAACTACTTACAATAATTTTAAAAAAAAGAAAAAGAAAACTCCTTTCCCCTCAAAAGACAAAAGAAATTTGGTAACATACAATGATAAAATCTATACCTCCATTCTCTACCCAGGCATAGTTTTAATATATCATGCAAACCTTTACTTGAGGGTCTTCTAAAAATGCGAACTATTTGCATCAGATATCAAGAAACAACACCTCATGTTCACCCATTAAAGATGTTATTTATTCTGAATGAGTTCTACAAATGAAGCTATTACACCTGACAAGATGTGAAGGTAAGAAAAAAGGCCTAAGCAAAAACTATTTAAAAAAAAAACAACAAAAACACAAACAAACCCTACCACCTGTGCAAATCTAGTTCTGCCTTGTATACCCTTTCTCAGTCATATAAAAACATGTTGAGCTGAGTGCCTTGAAGTTGCAATTAAGTTGTAGTAATTTAAGATTATCGGGAGAGCAAAGGGCAATAGGGGCTCCTTAGAAGCCCCCTCTACCACTTAATGCTAGTCAGGCCCAGGGTTAAATGAGCTGCTTTAATGTAAGTGCCTTAAAGTAACTGAATCATAAACAAAATTTATACTATTTTCTGACATTCTATAATCTATTTAAATTTTATGAGCATATGTCCAAAATTGTTTTTAAAAGACAGAACTATTATCATGTCCTGTAAATATTCTGAGGTACTCACTAAAATGTAATCCACATCTTAACACACATTTTCTGTACACATACACACTTCCTTATGGTGAGTAACCTTTCAAAAATCACTTCGGTCTTTCCTGAGTAAAAGTAGAAACAAAATTACTGCAACAATTAGACTCTTCATAAAAAGGTAACTGAGTTCAATAAAAAGTTGGCCTCTTTGTTCTATTTCCCCTTCACTATTCACTCAATTTCACAGGATACACCCCTGCATAAATGCTTACTTATTTCTGAAATATCAAAGTTGTACTGCTAATTCCAACATATACTGAAAACAAGCCTATCCTCCAATCCACCACAAGAATACATAATTTACACGTTTAGGGTAAAGATTTTTCACAGAAGGGGTGAAAGAAAAGTTACCCAGGAAAGTAGGCCTGACAGGCCCAATATTAACTAAGGTGACTTTTTGCTATTGTAGATACAAATGATTTAACTAGAACAAGTTTATAGCTTTTAAAAAACATTACATATTACACCAAATGGCTTAATAGCATGCATGCTATGTTTAACACACATTCTTAATTATACAATAAAAGGTGTATGCAATAAAAAGCTACAGACTTTGCAATAGGTTGTTCCTGATGGTTGTGAGACTGGCTTATAAAAAAAAACCCAACAACAACATAAAGTGCTCATTGTGTGCTCTGTGCTGCTAATTAAAAGTATAACACCTAAATGACAAGGTGTTTTTTTTTAATTCTATAGGAATTTACTTATCTTGTTTCCTATTTAACATGGTATTTGGTTGAGTTAACTGAAAATGACATTTTATTTAATTTTAGGATGGTTTATTGCAAGAAGAGATAAATAAAAGAGTTTACGTTGCAGGACTGAAAATAAATGCAAAAAAAAAATTAAGTGCCCAGTAAAATAAAACAATATAAATCTTATGTTGTCAATTTAAATTGCTGGAGCTTTTTTGCATTATGTTTTGCCAAACCTGTGAAAACAAAATGCTACAGTAATTCCTGTTACCACTTCCTTTAAAAATGTAAGGCAATTACATTTCCTTGGCTACAAGCAAAGACAAGTTTCAAAGAATTTGAATAAAAGTTGCAAAGTGGCCATGCTTAATGACATGCTGAGAAGTCAATATGGTATTTTTTTGAAATTTTTGCTTTGCCTTTTAAAACAAAAAATCAAGAACTGACCAACCCCAAACTGTTTCAGCATGAAATGTTTCTGTTGAACATCAGTTTTACTCTGCCACATCAAATACCCCACCCCTTCCCTAACAATACAGATCTTTTTTCAGACTGGAGATGAGAGAATTTTAGTAAACTCTAATTGGGGAGTGTAATTTTGGTGAACGACAAGAATTCCACTATGTGGTTCTGAGTAGCTCAGCTCATATCAGAATGCAAAGACCTACTTTTGCTATTATTTCTGGGTGGAGTTCAGATTGCCAGAGCCCTAGGCCATTTTAAAAATTAACTTGTTTAGCCACTAAGAAAGCTAAAGAAATAAAAATAACAACTGAAGAGACTATAGATCTTTCTCTCCAAGTTAACCTTCAGTTGCCCAACAAAGATCAGCATTTGCAATGGTCCATTTCTGCATAAGTGAACATAGAGTCTGGCTGCCTAATGGCACAGTACAGAGCTTTCCCTGAGGCCGCCCCTGACAACGGCCCAGCAGCAGCTTTGTTTGATCTCCACTGCCTTCCTTAATCTGGGTTGTCAAGGTTCACTTGTTGAAGGCTGTTTACTTTACGTTCTCCCCCCCCAAAAAAAAAGTGATTTTTTTTTCTCTTTCTCATACAATGACTAATCCACAGACTAAGAAGAAAGAATGCTACCAAGGCAAGATGTTAAAGCTACAATACCTTTTTTTTTTCAATGAGAGTTTAGCCGACACCTTGTGAATGGTAACTAGTTGAGTGGGCTTGTGTGTGTGTTGTGTGTGTGTGTGTGTGTGTGTGTGTGTGTGTTTTTAATGCTGTGTAATTATGAGATCGCTCAAATAAAGGGAATGGGGATGGGGGGAGGAGAATATAAATTCTAATTTTTTGTGTGTGACCAAGAATCCATTCTTCTTGTCCTAAACTTAAAAAAAATATGACTAGGTCTACTCTGAGAACTACAACTCCAGTGGAAGGGGGAAAAAAAGTCATATAACATTTCTCTCACTAACAATGAAAAAAATCAGGTATTCTTCTTTCTCAGTTATATATCCTACCACATGGCAGTGAATGGCTGAAGAGTTTCCATCTCCTTTTTAAACTCTGATTAAAAGGTTCAACAAAAACTGGCCACCACAATGGAAAAAAATATTTCCAGAAGGCCATCCCCATCCGAAAGAGGTGTTACCCGTACTCCCAGAATTATAATGTCCTAAATGTCATTGATGCTTTACTTATTCAGCTTCCCTGTTCAATAGCAATTATCGAGAATACGAATCACTAAATGTAAAGTATATATGGTCTACACGTTTTGGATCTTTCTATAATGAATACAGCATGTACTGTGTGAGTGTGGGTTTTTGAGATATGCAGGCTTATTTCAATGGCAGTCGAAAGAAATTAAATCCTAACAGGATACCTGGGAGGGAATATGAGCTCACCTCTAATTCTTCAAAGTAGATTTCAAAAGCATAGAAATACTCAAATGCAATAGTTCTATTAATTTCATCCTTCAGCACAGTGAAGGGTTTTTTTGGGGGGGATAGTTTCATTTCAATCTTTCTGGCTGAGCAAAAGAAAAAATAAATTTAGTAAGATGAGCACAGACTAAATCAATATACTTTGTAATCAGCCCAGCAATGGTATCTGAACACAATGGTTTGGAAATAATTAATAGTTATAAGGGGAGTGAGGGGGTAGTAAGAGGGGAGAGGAATGTCACTATATTTTATAGCAGCACTTATACTATAGAAGCTAAACTTTGAGCTCCCAGGGGCTGCTTTTAAAAAAGGGAAAATTTCATTTTTTTGAAACACCTATCCCCTGAAGGATGCACCTTTTGTTGCTTCCCTTCTCCTTATCACTAAATGAACCCAGAGGAGTGAAGTCTGGGCTTTGGCAAGAAAGCACTCGATCTTCCCCAACCTTGCTCTCAGCTTTTCCAACTGTACGCACCACACACACACACACACACACACACACACACACACACACACAATCTTCCCCCTCCTCCTTCTCCTAGGGTCCCACAGAC